ATAAGAATATCTTTTCAATCTATATAATTTTCAGATGTTGGCCTTTTTGTATTTGTTTTGCTAAAGTAAAAGTTAATTTATAAAGTTATGTTTTTAAATTAGTAAACTCAGAGTGAAAATTCTCTCTAGCTTTTCAAAACTTCTAATTCTTTGCTTCTTTAATTCCTTATGAATCTTGATTAAGTCAGGGACAAAGGGAAGTTCAGTATTTGATAATCTCTGACTTCTGACAAACTCTTAAGATGATACATATTCCAAATCAAAAACACACGGAAACACTGGAAACTGACAGCAACTTGACTAGTGTTCTATTAAACCCAAGAATTCCCTCACGACCGGACAGCGCCCATGTCACCTACTCCAGGAAGCCTTCCTTGATCTCACTCTGATTTACATACTTCTTCTCTTTATTTTTACATAATACCCTGTATGCACCTCCTTCGTAACATAAAACACATTTATAATCACCCATTTGAATATCTTTATCTTCCTAAACTGGGAGCTCTCCAGGAAGGGACAGGGTCCATTCAACAAGTGCCCCCAGTGCAGCCCTTGACTCGGGGAGCAGTCCTCGCGGGGTGTTGCAGAGTGAACAAACAGACCACTGGCATTTATGACACTGGCCTTCCAGCTGGACACAGGAGGACGTGTGCAGCCGTATTCCCCGAGGCCGGGGCTCCCAGCATCCCCACAGGTGCCAAGTGAGTCCAGGAAGCTAAGGATGAATCTGTCTTCCTTGAAAGACCCCACAGCTTGGGAATCACCTCCAACCCGGAGGAATGGCTTTTATGGATCCCATTTCTAATTATCCTAAAAGCTGTTGTATGGTGTTGAGACTGGGTAAATGCGCACTTCTCTGTTTCAACCTGATTTCACCGGAGTGAATCCTCTTATGATGCTCAAGTGTGGGAACACACAGGAGGAAGGGGCAAGTGGGTGTGTGAGAAGCTGCTCACCAGCCATTTCTAGGCTGGGGCACGTCCCACCAAAAAATAAGTGTATTCCAGGAGACATGCATCTTTTAAGGAGTAGGACACGTTTCCAGAGGCCTCTTCCTCACGAGAGGGGGTCTTTTCCTCCTGGCTTACTGCCCCACAGCAGCTCAGAAGAATGGGAGTCTTCCAGCACCTGAGCTCCGTACACGGACATCTGAGCTCAGAGATTTTTCTGATTTAATAGGAATTTTCTTTAAGGACACCAGGACAGAGCAGAGTGTCACCATGTACATGAGAGAAAGAAACCTCCTCAGAGAAATCGCTGCCTGCTGGTGTCACGCTATTCTCCCCAGCTGGGCCCCGTGTTCCACTGGCCTCACCTTCCAGAAGAGACTCAGCATCTTCCCTCCAGGACTGAAAACTAGCCGTGGGAGACCTCACAGCACACTGGCTGCAGGACTGGTGCTCATCAAATGTTTTATGTCTTGGGCTTGTTTCTGAAGTGAAGGCACACGAGGAGCCATATGTGACAACAGCAGTGGAGACTCAGACCCCCAAAGCAGGGCAATGCTTCCAAGGCCCCTGCCCATGAGCAGCCCATCCACGGAGGAGGGGGGATGAAGACCCACCACCCATGGCCAGGTCACCTTCAAGATCACACAGGTGCTGTCAGTTCCACAGAACCACTGCGAAGACAGGGAGTGAGGACTACGAGGTGGTGAAGGAGACCCGCTCTCTTTAACAACACAGGGGACAGTGCAGACACGGAGAGCAAAGCAGGCCAGGGGCTCTTTGAGGCCATGCACACAGCCCTTCCTCTCCTGCCTGCCCAGGAACAAGGGCCAGCAGCTTTACACGACCTGCCCCAGGCCACTCAGTGGGCGCAGGGCTTGTCTGAGAGCCTGGGCGGCCTTCCCAGTCGAGGCTCTTCCGACAACATGATGCTCTGTTCCTTGTCTCCCATCTCTTTGTCACTGCTCTGTTCCAGAACCATACACAGAACATACCTGCTTTTCAGGGATGACAACCGGTTACTACCGAGTGTCACCTGCTCAGAAGGGCCCTTCCCGACCACACAGCCACTGCCCGTCTGATTGTTACTACAACACTGGTGCCGTCCTCTTCATTTCTCATCAGCCGCCCTCAGCGCTGTCAGCACCACGAGAACTGGGACCTTCTTGCCTCATTCAACACTATTTCCAGGTCTTATGACGCAACCTGGCGTTTATTAAATGCTCAATACATGCTGACTGATGACTAAACAAGTCGACAACACACAGGGAAGGTTCTGAATTCCTACAACAAACAAGGGGTGGGGAGCAGTAGGAAACCATCATTCCTAACGTGAGATCTTTATGAACACCGGGCAGAGCTCCTCCCTGCTCCACAACTGTCATCAAGCGACTGGCAGTGCTGCTCTCCACAACAGGATGGGGCAAGGGACAGCGACCGATCCAGCAACCAGCGGGGAGGGTGACACAGAGACCGGCGTCAGGGAAAGCCGCACCGGAGCCTCACCAGGCAGCTGGTTGGCACGGGGGGTGGCGGGGGCACTTTGTTTCGTTTTTCTGGTGTAGAGTAGAGGGGACACCATGACCTTTAGGAGAAATAAGTGACAAGAAAGTGCAATGATAGCTGTGACTTATTTAAAAAAATAAAAATAAAAAAAGATGTTTGGGATACATTCCAGGACAAAGAGACACTCAGCCCAGTCTTCTAAAATACTACACGGTCTTAATCACTAAGGACGTAACATCAAATACCAAACTCTGCAGTAAAGAAGTAGACTTTTTTTCCTTTTTTTGCTGAGGAAGATTGGCCCTGAGCTGACATCTGTGCCAGTCTTCCTCTATTTTGCATGTGGGACACTGCCACAGCATGGCCGCTGCCAAGTGGTGTAGGTCTGAGCCCAGGAACCGGACCCAGGCTGCTAAAGCGGAGCGCGCCGAACTTAATCAACCACTAGGCCATGGGGCCGGCCCCCCAAAAATATATTTTTGCATGATTTTTAATAGAAATAGCATTAAAGATTTTGGTGCAAACAGAAGATGGAGTAAATCAACGAATGTCGGTCCTGAGTACACGGCACTTGGGAGGGTTTTACACTTAGAGGCAGAGCATGGAAAGGACTCTGTCCCCCGCTCTGTGCTCAGTCATTAAAAGGACAAAAATCCAGAAAAAAAAAAAATTACAAAAGCATGTGTGTGTGCTCGCTGCTAGAATGACTTCTACTGTGATGCCAGGAGCTTCTGGGGCAGGGAAGCCAGCTCAGAAGAGGTCCTCCACTCACAGTCATTATGCTGCATAAATATGGCCAGTCTGCGGTGATACTGTTTTTCAGATACCTTGTCTGGTCACCTGTATGAAGGGATGATCCTCTTCTCACTCGGAGAAAAGCCTGCCACTCAGTATTAGTTTAGAAGAGGTTTGATAGATAAAACAACACTGATGGAGTTGTGAAGAGCCTGGGGAGTCTGAACAGAGCTCAGGAGAGCTGCTGAGAGAGGAGGCAGCGCATCAGGCCTGGAGAAGGGCGGAGGGAAGGGGAGGGCAGCGAGGAACGCAGACAGCCGCTGGGGTGGGTGGGGTCAGTCCTGTCGCACAGGTGAGAAAAATGAAGATTACAAAGCTGAAGCAGATTGCCCAAAGAGCTGATTTTAAATTCAGATCTACTCGGTACCAAAAATCTCTGCAGCCTCCTGTGGAAAGTCCGCTGAAATTTCAGCACCAAAATTAAGTTCTAAAAGATTAAGTAGGGTCACCTGGATCTAGTCCAGAACCAAACGATCGGCAGGCTAACACTCTTCTCAGAAAGAGCGCGCAGAGCCGTCCCCTCCTCAGGCGAGGAGACAGGTGTCCAGCCACAGAAGTGGCATGTGCAGCGGCTGAGAGCTAACTGCGGAACTGCTAACAATTTTATCTGGACTGAGCACAGGACTCAGAAGGGCTCGGGTGGAGGCAAGGAGAAGCCGAGCGCCAGAGTGACCTAGGATAGGGCCGTGAGGATGGGGTGGAGACAGACTCGCACGCTGGGATTTGTACTTCAATCTGCAGACCACGAAAAGCACTGACTGTCTGCAAGTCGGGAGGTGACACAGTCAGTTTGTGTTTTAGCAAATCCCTCTCGGAGCAACATGGAGGATGAACTGGCAGAAAGGAAGTCTGGAGGCAGGGAAATTATCCAGAGACTATAATCCAGATGGCAAGTCTGAGCACCTGAGCTGGGGCTGTGGCGGCGATGAGCACGAGGGGACAGAGACTCCAGACAGACTCAGAAGAGAACTGACAGGACTTGGATGCCAGTCCTGGAGAAAGCAGAATCTAAGGCAGCACCTTTGAGAACTGTCACAGGGCAAGAGGCAGACACACCGGCAAAGACCAAGCCAATTTACACAGCCAAGGTCCCACCAGGGCTGGTGGTCATGTAGTCAAAACTAAAACAATTATAGTAAAGAGAAATGAGCTAAATAGTACCTATAAATACTAGAGCGAGATCTAGCAATGGCCACCAGTAAAGAAACATACTCAACAGCAAAATACAGTTACTCAAATAAGTGCCCAGGCCATATTTTTAAGTAACAGAAAAAATAAAGCACACATCTTTCTTATTAGAAACAAATATATTCAAGTGTCTATATGTCATCTCAAGTGGGAAGAAGTGTACAGAGCAAGACCTTTTGAGTCTGGGCTGGAACGGGCCTGGGCTCCCCACACGCAGCCCTGGGTTTGCAGAGTAAGACTCGTTGTGCTGGCTGGTTTCTGTTGCTGTCGTTAAGCAGGTGGATTTGCCCCAGGTCAGTAAGGAATGGCAGAGATGAGTGGGGGAGGCGATGGAGGAAGATTCAAGGGGCAGAAAGGGAGGAAGAGAAGAGACGAGCGCGCTTACACGCGACGTCGCAAATACCCAGCTGGTATCAAAACCATCGGATTTCTTAAAGTGCTATTTGATTTTGGTGGCGTTTCCTCTTAAAGGAGCAATGCAGACAGCATCGGTGTGAGCAAGGAGAGCACGGGCACGTGCCCCTGTGCATACCCCACGCCAGCAGGACCAGAGAGTATTCTTACCATGTTTCAGATGTAGGCAGCTGTCATTCTGGGACCTGTACCTGCAGAAAATTGTGTCTTTAACAAACTTTTATTGAAGAGGTTTTTGTACATTCCAAATACGTAGCAGCTACAACATCCTGTGGACTTGTCTGCTCTGCTTCTCTTGGTTCTTACATCAGCCATTTTTATCTGTGCAGCACAAGTAGTGGCCTTATTTTTAATGAAAGAAAAAGGGGAAATAACTAGGACCTCACTGACTGATGCCTTGAATTAACAGATGGGTTTGGTCTACCCCATTATCATGTTTGCTATTTTTAAATAACCCAAACCACAGAAAAGGTTCTCAAGGGGACACAGGTAGCATGTTATAGAATCATAAAAAAATTTTATTGTGAGGAGTTTTGCAAATAGAAAAACAGCAGAAGTGTTAAAGCAAAGAAAACAGACAATAAAAGCAAAAATAAAACAAAAGCAACCACAGTCAACAACCAGGACTGCAGACAACAGGGTTCGGGACAGGAGTGTTTAGAGGCACCTTCACGTGGTCACATGGAAAAGAAAGGTCTTGTAAACACGTTTAAAGAATTTCAGGAAGAAAAGCAGAGCGAAGAGTCACAGTCACAGCTGAGGATACAGCGGTGTGTGGAAAGATGCAGAAAGATGCAGAGACATAAAAGGAACCGACGGGAAAGTCGCATGGTGCCTACCTGACGTGGATTCCTGAAGTTTCTCTCTCTTCCTCTTCTTTTTCTTACCCTGGAAGAAGAGAGGCACACGTCATGTTACAGACTGTGAGCACGTGGCTGAAAGTGAGACAGAAGCATGGCGGGCAGCCCCCAGAGGGGTAAAGAGGCCTCGTCCTCCCTCACTCTCTCCCATCTGTCCCTGGAAGCAGTCAGCGTGAGGGAGAGAGAAGACGATTCTCACCCCTTGGTGACCTCTGTCTCTATAGCTTCATGGTCGGCATCCTCCGTCCTGACATGGGAGCACTCTCACGCACTCACATGAGGATGGGGACATCCTAGGGCTGCGGCCCCAGAACCCCCCACTTAGGAGGCGTCCCTTCCATACCAACCACCACACACAGAGTGTGTGCGTGGTAAATCCTCCTCACTGTGAGTCCCACCACATAATTAAGAGCTCCCGATGTTAACTGAGGCCCCGGGTCCCCGGGGACAGGCAGGACATAATAACCAAGGACAGCAGGAGAAGGGAAGACTGATTCTGGCAGTAAGCACCTTGCTTCCTAAAACAGACACCATAATGTGGACATGCACGCAATCTTGAATACATTTCAAAATCATCTTAATCACAAATGTACAATTTTAGGTCTCATTTAATAGTGGTCTAATTTTCCATTTTTCTTCATAATTACTTTCCCCTCAAACAATAATTGTAATAGGGCACAGACATGGTATATATTTGACTTATATGAATAGTAAATGACCAACCTGGATTAGGATGGTATTTTCAAATCACTGTAAGAGAACACATACCACATCCAGTATCTCTATCTTATGTCTGCCGTGATAATCACATTAACAAATAAAAAATAAAACTCTAAGATTACACGGAATGTATTGTGAGTATATAATAGTATATATTTTTATGTACCTCAAGATAGGCTTTCTTCATGCCACCTGACCTGACCATTGAGGCTTTAAAGCTTTGGAAAGTGGACTGAAACTATCCTCATAAACACCGAGACAAACAGCAGATATTCTGGCATATCAAAATTCATGGAGTCTGCAAATGATTCAAAGTCCTGTGGGAGGAGGGGAGCAAACAGGGAGAGATGCTCCTACAGGCATCCGCTCTCTTCCCTTCAGACTGAGTTACCATGGTTTTCACGCCTGGAGCCCCTTCCTCACTGTCTCCTCCTGGCTCCCATCTGCCCTTTAACACTCATCTCAAGGTCACCTCTTCCAGGAAACTTCTGGGCCCCACACCGCCTCCCCCCCCCCCGAGACAGAGCTCACCACCATGACCTAGTTCCTCACAGGTGCTGTAAGGGCTCTGTCCCTGGGTCCCTCACCACACGGCCATCGGCTCATAAGAGCACCCCCCAGGTCTCGCAGCATGTCTCTGCCACCCGGCATGTGCCCAGAACAGGCGACTGTGGCCCGAGGGGTTGGGTGGTCAATGACTTTGTGAAATAACCTGCACTATGTTCTAGGCATAAACCAGCGTTTCAAGAGAACCTACATTCATGGTTGACAAAAAGACCTAAGTAGTTTGGATGTATTAATGTCAGCTTACACAAAAAACAAATTCATGTGTGATAAACATAAAAATATTTTTCATTAAAATTACATATAGCACAGTTATGTGCCACACAACGACGTTTCGGTCAGCAGACCGCATATATGATGGTGGTCCCATAAGACTAGTACCATAGAGCCTAGGTGTGTAGTAGGCTGTACCATCCAGGTCTGTGCGAGTACACTCTGATGTTCACACGACGACAGAATCACCTTTCTCAGAAAGTGTCCCCGTCGTTATGCGATGCATGACTGGACTGGGGTTATTAAGCACTAAATTTAAGAGCTCTAACAATACAAAAATATTTGACTGATCTCACCTAAGAAAATATGTGCATTGTTGATTTATAAGAACTTCAGTTATAAAAGTTATAAAAAATTTATAAAAACAAATGCAAGTTATAAAATCTGATGCCATACCACAGGGAATTTTAATATTGAATCACTGAGATATATACTGAATATGATGTCAGAGAGGCTCCAGATAGCATTGCGACAGGACATGCTGAGATCAAGGCACGCATCTTGCTCAGCTCTCTTCTTGCACTGTTATTGTAAGAACACCGTCAGCTAAAGTTCCATCACTTGATGGACTTCTGTTGGCCTTACTAATTAACAGGCTTATTTTGATTATTATAAAAATTGTATGTAACAAAGCAGCATTTCCCTTTCATTCAAGGGCGAATCATAAAATCAAGTTATGCAAAACAATTTCCTTTAAAAACTATGGGGAAAAAATTGTGAGGAGGAAAATCTTTAAAGGCAAATTCACATTACACCGGCTTTCTTTAAAACTACTTTCTTCCCGTCTCTCCACATGGAGAAAAGAAGAGAGAGCGAGCGTGAGAGAAAATGTGTGTTTCTCTCTTTTTAAAAGTGAAAACTCACTCCTTTACTGAAGGATCAGAAATAGAAACTTCACTCAGTCATTCAACAAAGCAAAGCTAAATCTATACAAATTCACAGCACAGCCAGGCTCTTCGGTGGGTCAAAGAAGGAAGGGCACTCTCCCCTTTTAGGGAAACCACATCCAAAAGAGACGGGGGCCAGGGGGTGGAGCAGACACTTTTGAAACCCTTTAGGTGGGAGATTGATCTTCCCACTTAAAAGGCATTGCAAAGGCTCTATACAGAAAGATGCTAATTACTGCCCAGAGAACAGAAGCCTGTTCAGGGGAGAAAACTCTTTAACTACAGCAGTCCTCTTAAGAAAGCACTGGAAGACTGAGCTAGTCTGCCCCGATAGACTGTGAGGTCAGGGAGAGCTGGGCTGACCTGCACCTTAGCCACTACCTGATCTGGGACAAATTACTTAACCTCCCGACCCCGCCATTTCCCTCATCTGTGAGACACAGTAATACTATTTATGCCATGGGATTATCATGAGGTTTAGAAAATAACACAAAAAGCATTGAAGACCGTTCTTGACACGCGGCACATGGTAGTTATTAAACCACCTAAGCAACGACTCAGGTGAGTCCACGAGCTGCTGCTCGGAAGTCGTCGACAGGACTCTGATGTCCACGCCACGGTCCCGTCCAGGGTTTAAGCTCCACGTCCGGAGCAGCAGTGACTTCTTCTCCAGAGCATGTTACAGGAGAGCAGTGTGCTCCACGAGTCTTGGTGTCTCATCATATGGGATGTATGACCTCACACATGACCCCACAGGACCGTCTGCAGCAACGGCCACACAGTAAATTAAATATTGAAACGGCTTCCACCTCGCCCTTTTTACAGGGGACAATTCCACTTAATACTAAGACTGTCCTAGCTGGCATTTCACATGCTAGTCTCACATGGAACATGAAAGTGATCTTCAAAATTATAAATTAAAATCTTAAATAATCAAAATTATTCTCCTCTATAAGGTATGATAAAACTAAAATATCACTCCTAATATACTTTCTCAAAAATAGTCTTTGCTGTATTGACTACATTAGTAAGATGTTCAAACGCTAAAGTAATAAAATAATTGATAATATAAATGAAGTATATTTTGCCAAGAAAATTAGTGCAACTTAAAAAATATAATAATGGGCCGGCCCCGTGGCTTAGCGGGTAAGTGAGTGCACTCCGCTGCTGGCCGCCCAGGTTCGGATCCCGGGTGCGCACCGATGCACCACTTCTCTGGCCATGCTGAGGCCGCGTCCCACATACAGCAACTAGAAGGATGTGCAGCTATGACATACAACTATCTACTGTGGCTTTGGGGGAAAAAAAATAAAATTATAAAAAAAAAGAAAAAATATATATAATAATATCTACTCTATCTGAAAATACATAATAGACATCAGGGTACATTAACATGAAACAAATTTTTTTAACTCAGTTCTGATCAGTCTGTGGCAAAACAGTCACTTGAATACATTGTTTATAAGAACTGTAAAATAATATAATCCTTTTGGAAAGCAATTTGACAATATGTATCAAGAGCCTTTAAAATATTTATATCCTTTTACAATATATATATATCAATATATATATCAATATATATCAATAATTCCACTGCTCTGACTCTCTCCTACAGAAATAACAGTCCTAAATACAGAAGAAAATGTTATGCACAGATATGTTCAATGCAGGATTATTACCAACTGTAAAAAAAATACAAAGCAATTTAAATTTCTAAAAGCAGGAAAAAATGGTAAACTGTGACAGTCAGTCAGTGAAATATGGTATAGCCATTAAAACTGATATATAGAAACACTATGCCATAACAGAAAAATGCTTATTATATATGAGCAAGCAGCCTGACACAAAAGTGTATGTAAACACACACACACACACACTTATGTCCAAGTAAAAAGTAAAAACATGCACAGAAAAAATACTGGAAGGTAATGTAACTACTTATTACTAATGTTGCCTTTACATGATGAGATTATGGGATTAAAAAAAAAATCCTTATCACCAACATTTTAATAAGATTTTTGTTAAAAGTTTTACTTTAGAAAATTCATTAGCATGTATAGCCAAAAAAAAAAAAAAATTATGACAGCTCAAAGTTTTCAAAATACAACATATCCATGAAATCTTTATTATAAAGTTCATTAACTTTAAAGGAAATAGTACCAGCATCAGATACACTCTAAAACACAGTTCCCTCACGGAGAGCCAGAGAGAGAGGAGGGGGGAGGGGGGAGCACTGGAGGCAGAGGGGCTTACATAATTGTCTCTCGCAGACCAGCCCGGATAAAGCTGCATATGTAGCTGTCTCTCCTTCCGCGCTAATTCATAATATTTAGCCTGCTCTTCACGGGAGAGGGCGTGCCACTAAAACAAAGAGGGGAAGGAGTGAAAAAAATCAAATAAAAGTGAGCACAATAGCAACAGTATTATATATTTCATGTTTCAAACATTAAAGAATGAAAATATTAAGCATTTAAGCTTTGATTTATTTTTAAACAGCAAGAAGACCCAAGTGGCACAGAAATCCAGTTTGAGTCTGGTGGCTGGAGAGAAATTCAAACTTTGGTTTCTTGATCCTATTCTCCAATATCACATGAAACACATCAAAGTCGATCCCAGTGTCTAAAGTCAATGACCTGTCACCCCCCCTTCTCTTTTTCAGTATAAATTAAAGAGAACTTCCCCTGGTGGCCTCAACACCCAGCTCAGCCCTTCTTCAGTGCGTAGCATATCCTGATATCTGAGCCCAAACACCATTTATTTATGCAAAATGTGATAATTTCCAGATGTCTTTTCCACACAGAGACCTCCTCCCTCATCTCCATGGACACTCTCCTACGGGGTCACAGGAAGAGTCTGAAACCTTCATCACATGATCCCGTCTCTACAGCAAGACGTCAAAAGTGAGGCTGTGTGTCTCAGCCTCTTCACCCTCCTCACACTTGTGAAAACACTAATCGTGCAGGGCGGACACCGAGAACACTGCACAATCACACAGGCACTTCACGGCTGGAAAGCAAGGAGCACTACCTGAGTTTATTTTGCCATGGAGAACTGGAGACTGTAGTATCGAATGTGGAGAATGCAGTGGCTGATACCCTGCAAACGTTCCACTTCCCTTGTAGATCACTAACATATATCACATACAGCGAAAGAGCAGATGGAGGCAAGGCATCCGTTGGGGATTTTAAGCCGCTTATATCTGCACATTGCTTTGCATGTGTTTCACACAACTTGCCCCAGGTCCCAGAAGGCAGTTTTCAGGTATTGTCCCTACTTCCCAAATGCCAGGATGTGTCAGCAGAACCTCCCAGGAGAACTGGCTGGGCTTTGGGGGACCCACTGGCCAGAGGTGATGGCACAGAGGTAGCAGCTACAGGAAAAGTAGATCGGAGCCCACAACACGCATGCACACACACACACACACACACACACACGTGCAGACACTCTCACTCAGCCTGGGGCCTCCCAACTCTCCCTCTCCCAGCTCTGGGGTGTGGAGCCTCCCAGTTCACCTCCTTCCTCAAGGCTAGGTGACTTTTTCTCCTTCATGTCCATCCTGCATATTGACTTGAATTTTCCTCTTCTTGTATTTGAAAATGATAAGAAAAAGAAAAGAAAGGTGTGGCTGGACTGGGGAAACGAAGGAGGAGCGAGGGACAGGTTAATGAGAGAGAAGTCCTTGTCCCCCTGCACGAAGCCCATCAGGCAGGGCTGGGAAGCTTTCCTGAAGAAAACAGAAACACCTGCTGCTCCTGTTCGTTGAAGGATGAGAACCTGATGTCAAGAAGAGCACTGAAGCCCCTCTGCCATCCCCGTCCCCTTCCAGCCTCCAGCACAGACGCAGCGGTGCCCGCCGGCAGGGCACCACTCCATTTCCCTCGAGAGCCCGGTAGAAGCCGGGCCTCTGTGCTGAGCAGGGTGGATGCTTTGATTTTAATTGCTTTAGAAGTGCAGGCTGAACAGTTAAGAAGCACGACACGGCGGGACTTGGCCTGGGCCTAAAGGTAAATCAGGTAAAATGCTTTCTTAAAAAAAAACTGGGGGAGGAGGGTAGGGAGGTGGCAGAAAAGAAAATCCTGAAGAAAGTCACTGAGACAGAGCTCTCTGTAGGAGCAGAGTAAACAGTTGGTCCACTCTCGCCCAGGAAGGCCCATCCGGGGCAGCGGCTGACATTCACACTGGGCGGGATAGGTCACTGCCTCCGCCAGCCGCTGGCCTTTCTAAATCGGAGATGCGGACCTGTCCTTGAGACCCTCACAGGGAGATACAGCCAACTGGACACAATGGAAAAGATCAGCCTACGTTTTTTTTTTTTTTTTGAGAAAAACCTGGTTATTACTATTGACACAGTTCTGGTGCTAATATGATTGACAAGAGGCAAAGTGTTACCAAAAAGGAACAAAAGTTAAGAAAGGATGGAAGTCTTACTTTGTAAATTTGTTTGTTTATTCATTTGACAAATAATCTCTCTTATACTCCTGCAATACATCAGCATAACTATATAATTTATGGCAGCTTTATAACTTGCTAAGAAAACCTGGAATTATAAATAACACTTATCTCCCAAAATACATATGGAGGTTGAGTCTTCTACCCAAATAACCCATTAAACAACCAGATATTTTTACAGCAGGAAACTCAGGTTGACAAAGGACCCCAGCTAACAAAACTGAGCAAAATGCAAGGAGACAGAGCAGGCCACAGACTAAACCTCTTACTTGCATTTTCAATTACTCTTAGTTCCCTGAAGTTTCTAAAGCACAAAATCTACTGACAAATAAAAGATCATTTACCAGAGAAAGACAGTAGGCAAACAATGGTATTAAAGTTTTGTATTGAAAACAAAAACAATGTCTAGTACAAACTAGAAAGATGGTCTTTCTTTACAGGAATTTCTGAAACACAATGGACTACAAAATGCTTTTCTGTCTCTGGCTTACTGAAAAATTAAGAGTTGATTTTTAAAAAAAATCTAATCTCCATGTCAAGGTTTCACCAAGTTGTTGGGAAAATACCCATTTAATTTGAAGAAACTTTTGCAGTTCTGCGATTAAAAAATTCTGACAATAAATGGACTTCCTTTAAGAGCCAGGAAGGTCTGAAAAGAAAAAACATTTTAAAGTAAGCCTTGTGTTATTGTTACTTATAATATGAAGAAGAAAACTTTAATTCATATGAATGAACAGTTCTATTTTAGAGATACAGTAAAGATGAATAAAAATCAAAAGATAAAATGTTCCAGGATGGATTTAAGTTCCACTTTTAAGAATTCTAATCATCCCAGTGTAAAACTTCATGATTTTAAAGCCAGGAACTTTAAAGAACCAGCAAGGACTACCCTGCCAGAGGGGAGTTATGAAAGGATAGAAAAGCTGATCTTAATCAAAGATCTCAGAGACCTATAAATAGAAACAGGTGTCCAAATCAAAGACAGAGGGAGACCCCAAATGAGAACCATCCTGTAGGACACATGCTCTGATCTGGGGATTGTTAAGGGAGCTGAGAAAGTAGCAACTGTTGGAAACGTGCATTAAAAATAGGAAGCATGCCTCCACATCATAGCCTTACTTACTCTCTTGAGCAGGAAAAGAATTCCTGCTAGAGGGCCAGGGGACCTTTAACTCGAAAAAGAAAAAAACGCTAAGAGTTTTACACAAGCTGAAATAAGAATGTCAACCCTTCTTTTCTTCTGATTTCTCCTTTTAAAGGGTCAGGGGAAATGGTCATCAGCTACTAAGCTTTCAAGGCGGGGTTCTTCAAAGATGATGGAAATCGCTCATCTGCCATGATCTGGCTTGGGAAATCATTGTAATTATTGTTATTAAGTGTTTAAGAATCCACAGGGAGAGAGACCATTGTACGCAGGGCACCAGAAGAGCTATAATCTAGCACCACACCCCACCCCCGGAACCTGGTGTCTGGCAGATTGGAAGGAGCTGTGTTTTCATGCTCTCCAACAGGAATGGTAGCGCAAGAGAGCCTGCTTTCCTCTATCTGCTCTCGTGGACTGGAAATCTCCTGAATGTTTTCTGTTATAAATGCTGAAATGTATTAGGTTTGTAACCAATATGGTAAAAATCATCAACAACAGTTAAAACATGATCCTCTAAGTCTCACGAAGGTTGTTAGACCCTCCTCCTCTGAATGTTCATTTGCAAATCATTAATTTCTTGAGAGGTTGCAAAAACAAATACACAAGGTCATAATTTAAAAAGCTACCACACATAGAGGAAGAGTATCAACAAATTAAGATGCAGCATTTCTAAAATTATAATGTAATTACAGTGAAAATGCAATTTGAATTAGAAAAATTCAAATTCTCTCCAGCTCTTCAGATACTAACTAAAACCATTTCCATCCTGAGAAAAGCACCTGGGACTGAAGAGCCTTTGAGCTGGTGGACGGATAAAGAAATCCTCGAGTGTCTGTCCTAGTAGCCTAGGGCTTGCTACATAATAGGTGCTCAGAGAAATACCTCAGCACAGTCGAAAGAAGGAATGACAAGAAAAGGGGCAATCCAGAAACCAGGCACAGGTACCCTTTAAGAATCAGAGCAATTTTTCTAGAATAAAGACTTCTCCGGCTCGTATAAATACTTCCATTTAAAGCTTCTGAGTAGAACAGATACGCTTCTGTCTTGGAAGGAGTGGCCACCTCTGTCTGCCAGGGTTCCTCCAGAAGCGTGGCTGGTCCCACAAGGCCTTTCTGTGGCTCCCCATGTGGGACCAGTGCTTTCCTGCTTCAGTCTGCACACGGTCACTGCACCTGAGGACAGTCCCCCTCCCCACTCGTCCTGTGCAGAGTCTGCACACGGTCACTGCACCTGAGGACAGTCCCCCTCCCCACTCGTCCTGTGCAGTCTGCACACGGTCACTGCACCTGAGGACAGTCCCCCTCCCCACTCGTCCTGTGCAGTCTGCACACGGTCACTGCACCTGAGGACAGTCCCCCTCCCCACTCGTCCTGTGCAGAGTCTGCACACGGTCACGTCACTGCACCTGAGGACAGTCCCCCTCCCCACTCGTCCCTTGGTGAAGCCCTACCCCTCTCTCAGGTCTCAGCTTAAATACTATTGTCTCAGAGGGTCCCTTCCCTAGACCCCTGTGATTCTTTTTCATAGACTCTTGCTTTTCATATTCGCAGTACTTATCACAATTTTAATTATATATTTATTGGGTAATTATTTGTCTAATATCTGTATCCTGTCACAAAACTTTAAGCTCCATGAAGGCGAGGACGGTATCTATTTTATTCAGCAATTCCTCTCTAATGCCTACCACTGTGGCTCGTACATAAGACACTCAATATGTATTTGTTTAAAGAATGATAACAGGGAAAACACCATTTACAGGAAGTCTTCAGTGCCAGGAACTAGCCTGTTGTTTACAATGCCTTCTGTCATTTAATCCTCTTAAAGGTTACTGTCATGTCTGGTTCTTTCTGTTACTCCCCAAAGTCGCTGGTGAGCATACACTTGACGACCACCCGACATGCACGCACACTCGGGGAGATTTTAATGGAGCAGTTCCGTGGTTCCATAAACATTTTATATCCCATCCCATGACTTACCCTTCTACCTAGAATCTGGTTGATAGCTGCACTTTCTTTTAGAGTACACTCTGCGACGACATTGGCTCTCATTTCTTTCATGTATAACATAAAAGCATTCAGAGGCTTCTTAATGTGAGGTCTTTTTGGCTCCTGCTCCTTTCTCTGTTCATGCTGAGGCTTCCTAAAGGCCGTTGTGGTGGTGTTGGGGGAGGGGGTGGACGGGATAAGGAAGAGAGAGGAGGAGAGAAGCAGAGCATCTGTTTACATCATCAGTCAGACTCGGGCTGGGACATCCCTCTGGGCTCTCTAGAGGCCCGAGAACACTACCGACTTAGAAGAGCCACTCAGGACTCTGTGAATAAGGATCCTTTGGTTTGGGAAAGTTTACCTATAGCTAAAGAAGTGTTCATAACACAAAACGGAAATGGGTTTGTGAAGATGCTCCATCTAGTGCCCTGAGGCTGAGCTGCTCCGTCAGCTCAGGAAAAGCAGAGCATATAGTACGGGTGGTCACTCCCGTTTCAGAACTGAGGTTCTTAACCATGGGGGTTGAGGGTCCTTTGTTCTCTCCTCAAACACATGCACGTTGGCTTTGCCTCCATTTACAGGGTTTTATGGACGATCACGTGCTCCCCGCTGCCCATCTCTCATCCCAGTCTACAAACCCTAGATTAAGAAACCTGGTTACCCATCTCTTCAGAACCTCAGCCCTGTTGTAACAGCCTGAGACAACCCTGGCCCCACAGGGAGCCCTGGGCTTGGTTTGCCCCTTTCCATTGAATTCTGAGCTTTTGAAGCCTCAAAGCAGGGTGATTGTGTTTACACAGGAAATGCACCGAACCCTCCCAATCTACTGCCCTCAGGTCTAGCAGGTGCTCCCCAACGAGAGCCCAATTAAACCTGGCAGGAGGCGGCTAGATGGCTCCAGACTGTTCAGTGCCTACGCTCTGAGGATGACTCCTTTTTGCTGAGGTTCACCTGTTGAGGTCTGCGCTCCTTTCCAATCTCAGAGTCAGCTTCAGCGCAGTGAGAACTCAGCTGCTTAATGCCCTCAAGGGCAGAGCTTCCAAGGCAGAGCCATGCTGATGTTCATAATAGAGAGGGAAGGCTCCACAATGGCACAGAAGAAGCTGTGTTTAAGCTCTCAGTATCGCAAGGCGTTCACAGGAGGAACCAGCCGTGGTACTCACACGTGCATTAGGTCACTGTCAGTGTGGGGATGCTCCTGTTTGACCTGAGGCGTTACAATGGCTGGATGAGGGATGCCAGTTGTGTGGGGACCAGGAGGACCAGGAATCATATGATGGGAAAACCTAAAGGAAGGAAAGAGAAGAAAGCAGTGTGTCCTCGTGGCCATTGTAGCAAAAGCCAGACAGAACTTTGACACCATCCACTAACTGCCACTGGCTGAGGGTGAAGACACCCTGCTACACACAGGAGCATTAACTAGGAACCAGAGCAGCTGGCAGTCAGTTTCCTTCCCTTCTGTATTCAGGTGGAAAATATTTCTAATTATTCCCTGTATAACAGAATTTTTTTTCAAACTATCAGTAGAATCTGGCATTTTCCTGGGAGGGCTCTAGGCCATAGGATAAAAAAAAAAAAAAGTGAGTCACTTTTCTTGCAAAGCAGTTTTCAAAGAAGAGTTTCAGTAAGAACAATTTTTGGAACTATAACCCTTTATTAACGTTTAGCTTTCTAAATGAATTTTAAATAAAAGCTAAAGACATCACATTTAAAAGTCCCTGCCTACATCCCGGAGCAAGCCATCCCATTACGAGTCTCTTCATATTGCCGGCTTCTCTACTAATGTCAGGAGAGAACAATGGAGAATCCACGGGACAGGAAAATTTCTTCAGCCCCTGATTCAATAAGGTGGCATCACTATCATCCAAAATAATTTTCTACACAGAAAGAAACGTTTGGGAGATCTAGTCTTACGGAAAACTGTCCCAAAATTAAGGGGAAGCATTTAGTTAAAGGAAAGCATGGAGTCCTGCATCGAGGTAAAACTACAGACGCTCAAGCCTTTGCCAAGAACGTCTGTGGGGCATAAAAAAAAATCTTAAAATATCCACCACCACCCAACACAAAGGAGAAAACTGCCATGCAAGAAAATAAAATAAATAAAGACGGTACTTTCAACAGCGCTTTGGATAAATTCAGATACGTTTTAGAAATTTTTGCTTTGCAAACTTTTAAAGCAAACATTTAATTCAATAAGAACAACATCGTTAGGTCTTTCATCACAGTCTGTACAATTAATTCCTTCATCTGGGAAGGAAAGAAGGAACTCTCCTTGGATATACAATACTTCAGAAACAAATTTAAAAAAACTAAGGAGGCATGGTAAAAATACAAATATTTGATCAAATAATGATGCTTTGCTAACGGTACCATTTATAAAAATACATGACGCCAGTTATCGGCCTGTGAGAAAACGCTGCCATAAGACAGTTCTTAGAACCTTAAAAAGTGTAAAGATACATCTGGGGGGAGGATATTAATCCCATCCCCTCCCAACAAGCTAGATTTACAATTTGCTTAACAAATAATTGTTTTTAAAAAGCTGAAATTCACCACAGAAACTGTGCATTTCATCGTACCTATGTAAAAAAAGTAAAGATTCACAACCGGTTCCTAACCCAACAGGTTGACTTCCAGCACAGTAAGGCCAGCTCCCCTGAAAAAGCCACAGGGAACACACAGACGACACACCACAAACGTGTGTGCACGCCGAGCACGGGCACAGAGCAGAAGCGTTACACAGCGCAGTGTGCACAGCAGAGCTCACCGAGCTTTGCCCGCACTAACGTGTCCACACAGGGCCTGATTCACACACTAGGACACACCCGTAGGGCTGGACAGCCTGTGAGTGCCTTCCTTCTCCTCTGACAGCTGTGGTCCCGGAAGGCTCTAGACCATCTGGGCACTTGCAAACACTGTCTCATTAAACGGACACCACTTTCCTCAAAGAAAGCAAATGATGGAACTCAGACCACACCAGTCTTTATGCTCCCCCTTACCCCACCCCGGCACATTTTGAATCAAACAGGCTCTCCTGATGTCCACACGGGGACAGTTCACGTCCCACAGTCGGGGAGCAGTGAATTCCGTCAGAGGCACGGGATCCTGGTGTGCCGAGTCCGCCTCCCAACGGGCTTGGCTGTGCTTGCGGGGGGCACAGCACACGGCTCCTACCCGGCATCGCTAGGACACCTAGTGCGGGAGCCAGGCACACTGCAGAGACAGACGCGCGGCTGAGTCATGCCCCTCCACGCCGACCGAGAGGCAAGCAGAGGTACAGGAGATGCAAGCGCAAGAAGGGCAGCTTGTCCTGGCGCCCGTTTCCACCTCCACCTACCTGGACATGGAAGTGTCGACTGACAGTGAGGATGGGTAGGGCTGCCTGAATCCTCCCGTGATGGGATAGACAGGCTGACCTTGCCTGAGGTCACAGAAGAAAGGAACCCATCAATGACAAAACACGGGTGACCAACCAGCAGTAGGGGTTCGATGGGGGAGAAGAGGGAGGTACGCCACTAGAAGGCTGGGGGGGGGGCGTCGGGACCCAGCGCTTCCTCAGTTATCCACTGTTTCCCTTCCTTGCCCTCCTCCCAAGGAAAGCATCCTTTGCCTTAAAGAAAATCTCCCCCTTTAACTTTAAAAACCAACCAGCCCCAGGTAACCAACCAGCCCCGGAATTACCTACCATTTATCCTTCCCCCTCTTAACCCCATGAACGCTCTGAACAAAGCAGGCAGTAACAAATGTTTACTAAACTTAACGGAACCCTGAGAATGGTGAGATATTCCCTTCAGAGAAGGAGGTGAGTGGATTCTTTACCACAATCTTTGAGCATTTAGGGAAGGGAAGAAAGATGGAAATAAAAAATGCATATTTATATAAAAATGAACAAATATTTAAAAAACACTGCACTTTCCCCTCCTCCAATACCCATGCTATAGTCAAGAAATCAAAGATCCATTCATTGGAATTATCTTCTCTCCACTCTGAGAATTCTGTCTCTCCCTCTGTTTCTCCCACACGTTACATTTTTCATTTATAGTCTTTATATCCAGCTGCCATTGATGCAACTCGGCACAGGATTACTGCCCCTAAGCAGCCAAGTTCAGACAGAATAACTGATGTAGCTTTGAAAGTGTACGCATAACCAATTAAATTCAAACCAAGTTATTGACTAAGAGATTTAATGCCAAAGAGAGAGAGAAAGCTGGAATTGCCACAGCAGGACAACCCCTCCTTGCTGGAAAGAGAGAATGTAAGGATGTCAAGGTGGGGAGACGGGGCAAGGACATGGGGGCTGACGGGACAGAGAGCCAGATAAAGAGAGGGGAGAGAACATTCGAGAAAGCTGAAGCTCTGTTCCCCTGGAGGGAGCGGTGGGGAGGACAGGGGCAGAGGGACAGAGTGGGAGCAGGGAAAGTTGTGTGCTAACAATAAAATGATAAAATTAGCTACACCCTATAAAAGGTATTCTCTTTCTTCCTAAAATTTATTTCCTTTACGATTATAATTTAAAAATTTTTGAAGGTAGCAATAAGAATTTTTTAGAAATACAACAAAATAGAGAACATTTGGATTCTGAAAAAATAAAGTCCAAACGTCAGTTTTTCACTCCTCTGAATTCACACTGCTGCTGACTTCATTAAAATTCAAAAGATGCTTTTGTATTTTTGAATCTGTCTCTGGTTGTCATTTACCTCACTTGCCCATTGATAAGCAAAGACCAATATTCAACGTGTCTAAGTTTATGTTTCAAAAACATAAGTTGTTCATAAAAAACCAGAAAGAAGCACCTCCCCGAGCCCTCTGTACAGGCAATGGAAATGCCCAGAGCCACACACTGAATCCACAGAACTATCAGCTTCAAAGCCAACGCTGTATACGCATTGTCTACACACGTTCAATCCACTGTAAAACGAATTCAATCCATTTCAAAGTCTGTATGTTTTTAATCTTTTAAATTGAAATGAAATTAAGTTAGCACCTCACTTGATGTGAAATTTCTTCCACTCCACAAGTGTTATCACTCCTAAAGCTAATTTCCATGAAGGAAAGTAGGAGAACATGTGTTCAAAGGCCTGGCTGAAGGCTGCAGGAAGGATCTTACCAGCCAAGAGGTGGGGTAATCTGCCCGACACCCCCCGGAGACAGGGGATAGAAGGTGGGGATCTCAGGAGCCGGAGGATGTCTGGACATGCCTATGAGACAGAACGAGGAGAGGCAGAGGGTCAGATTCACAGGACATTTGACTATGAGAGCAACAGAAATGCAAGAAAACGCTGTATGCCATTATACTTCAGGTCTGGAATGAGGCAATATTTATTTGTTGGATCCATTTAACAGTTTGTTAGCTTTTCTCAAGATTTCAAATCTGAGAAGACAGGTCTGAAGATAGTACATCTTGAGGATCTCCTGAAAGAGTAAATATGCTGCCAGTAAAACAGTCATCAAAGTAAGACTTTTAAATGATTTAGTCTGCCCTCATTATTTCACTTTGGTTAAGAAAATGGTAGACAATTGTTTTTGTGTCAAATGGAAAATGACAGCCCTTCATAAGTAGATGGCCTGCCATGACGCTCAAGGATTAGGTAAATTGCCACTTGCATATTTTCATTGGCTCCCTTATGGACATACAGATTTGGGAAATGTGATACCTCTGAGGATCAGAGATTAATTAGGAATCCTCTTCAGCCCCATAATGGTCACACTTGATATGATTCATTTGGTCTCTGCCTCTTCAGCTCCACTAAGCTCTTCATCACGTTGAGTCCTCTGGGCTCCAGGTCAAGCTGTTCTGGATTAGTTGTATTCCACAGAAAATGAGTGCCACCAAATTGTTTCTTGAGCTCATGCTCCCTAGAGTACGCTGCCCTATAACTGTGAAAACCACCTAAGGATTAGACCTAATCCTAGTCCCAAATGGCATCTCTGTGTTTATATCTTACCTTGGGTACAGAAAAGAATGGCTAAGACACATACATAAAAAATGCAAAACAGGAAAACTTAGATTCAATGAATTTGGGGGAAAATGATTCTGAATAGGAAAAAGCCACACAAGTTTCTTTACACAGCTCATCTGACTTTAAAAGACCATTCCCTTATAAACACACGTTCCCAGGTTTATGCATTCAGTGGTTCTAACTACAGTGTCCTGTACGTGGAGTTAGGTGAGCACATGGACAATGTTCTTGAAGTATCCTGCTTGTTTACTGTTTAAAATGCCTAGGAGTTTCATTTGGACCTTGAAAGACACTGAAGGCCTTGGACGCAGGGGAATGACTTAAGACAGTTTGCCTTCAAAGTTGATGTTAATTTGACTTTGAAGTGACGACGAACTATTTCTCAACTCTTATAGGAAGCAGGTAGGAAGGAGAAAGGTCTTGACTCTCTCTCAACACAGAGCTTCCACGGGATCATCTCATGTTTTGCTGTTTTTAAAAGAATAGAGTCAAATCTCCTTTTCTTTTTGGTTAGAAATACTGCTTCTTTGGGACCCCAGATTTCATACTCGGGGATCTTCGTCTCGGGCCTGGGAAGCTCGGGCAGCAGGGGTGATCCCGAGGGAGTCTGCGGTGCTGATTCTCGACGTATCAGAATCACCAGCCACTTGTCCAAGGACACAGTTCGTTGAGGACAAAGTGAGGCCCTGCTGCTGCCCTTGCTGGAGATTCAGACGCCTCCCTGAGCCACAGGGTCTGCAGGGGGACCGCTCAGTTTTGAAAAGAAAAACCAGACTACCAATGCGGAAGAACCTTGGAAACTTCGTGGAAATCAGAACTTGACCGTCATGACTGGAGGCCAGAGACTACCTGAACTGTCTACTTTAGCCCTTTGTTTTGCAGAAGTGGAAATGGAGGTCGAGATAGGTAAAGTGACCGTTCGGGTACATACAAAACATGTTCTGTCTGGGGCGCTTATCACCGGGACACAGAAAGTGACTTGCTTGCAATCACACATCTCTAAGCAGACAAGCTTAACCCCTCGCTCCCCACCTCAGTCCACTGCTAAGTCCGTGCAGAACGCCAGCCAGCGACTCTGGAGGAGTGATTCCATACACGCTAGCTGGATTGGGCTCTACTGCTCGGAGGAGGGCGGAGGGAACTAACACTTCCTTAGCACCTGCTACATGCCAGTTCCTATGCTGGGTATTCGATTTGACTCTTTCTACTAAAATTCTACTCATATTTCAAACACCCATCTCCCATGGAATATTCTCTAATTTTTATAGCTGAGAAATCTCTTTCTTCTTTGAATCTACAACATTTTATTTGTACTTTTAATGTGGTACTTAAGATGTTCTTCATTTTGTTTTATAGTCTGTTTTGTGCAAATGATTTCCTGCATGAGCTCATATACTGCTGGGAAAAAAGACACTACGTTTTACCAATCTACGTATCCACCATGGCTGTCTCCAGAGGAGGCTCTCCAATAGTTCTGAATGACTGAACAAATGAACAAGTGGAATAAAAAGGGTTCAAACAGACCCATTCCCCATGCTGGGTCAATATTATCTGCCATTTTGCACATACACACAAGTACGTGACATGGCTTAGGTCGCCACATGAGCAGAAAATGGATTTTTTTTCTAAATAACTTATCGTCATTTTAAGATCCTGTTTCCAAAGATTCCCAGAAGTGTGTGCCTCTCCACCGACTGCTGAGCCACTGAAGACACAGTTCACATCACTCATTTAACCAGTATTTATCCAATACACACTGCATGTTGAGCGCTGTGTGCAGCACAGTCTTAGAGATGTTTAAACTTTCATAAGTAACTTTTATAAATACAGATGAAATGCTTCTGGAGTCAGACTTGTATGGACATATCAATTCCGCCACTTGCTAGCTATGTATCCTTGAGAAAGTTATTTGTTATTGTTCTGTGAAATGAGAATAAAAATGGAATGGGGTTGTTGTGAGGAATAAATGCATTACTATATGTATACAGAAAAATGCTTGGTACATAGTATAAGTGCTATGTGAGTGTGGGCGGTTATCTACAAGGATACAATGAGTAACACAAAGATATAAACAGGCACATAACCCCCCTATTTTCTAAAAGCTCTTGAACATTTTTCCCAGACATCATGAGTAGAACAAAATGATTGGTATTAGCTGGCTTTCTTTTCCTATACATACACACACACCAACACACTAAGAGGTAAAAACTAATGTGCTTCCTAATGGGAAATTAACCTAAAGTTATTTTCCTCCAAATGAGAATGGGTTCTGTTGACAGTTGGTATTTATTGGATAGTTCTATCCAGGCTTAGGGTATGGGCATGATGCTCTTTTTCGCGTTTTGGTTTTTTTTTTTTTGAATAAAGTAACCAGCCTCCCAGGAACTCTGAAATCAGCAACCCTGTCTCAGTGCCACCACGTACTAACTCACTGAGCTCACAATAGAAGCCACAGGCAGGTGGCAGGAGAGAAAAGAGTGAAAAAGCAAGAGACCTAGGGAGCTTTTTACCTATTCTGTGGCGACAAATGTACTGAAACGGAATGATATAAGCTCAGAATCATGCAAATTAATTCTTTGCAAACCAATGTTTACATATTCCCAGAGATAGAGGGTGATGAGATATATGAAGTTTTTTTTTTTACAAAAAAGTAATTAAAAACAGAATCTTCATATTAAAACAAACAAATAGTATATGGAGTAGAATGCAAAAATCACAGAAATTGTTAGGACAAGATAAAGACTTCAAGGAAACTGCAAGCAGACCTCTGGACAGGCCCGCCAGGCCCCTCTCTAGTTCTAGGGGTTTGTTAAAAAACAAGTTTGAGGAGCAATGACACAGAAATTACAGTGAGTAAGGCAAAACAAGGTGGGGAAGCAGCAAGAGGTGGAAACAGAAGACAAATGTAAATGCAACTGGGAGCCAGTCATAAACTTGTCTTTCTTAAAAACGGAACTGTACTCGAATTTCTGAGAGAAAAACTACTGGACCATTATGTGTTATTCTTTTAAATACGCTCATTTCAAAGGACTTAGAAGGGGCCCAGGGCAGAGTAAGTAGTATGTAATTGTTAAATAAATGGTTAAAAACTAAATAAAACACACGGCTGGATTCTTTTTGCTAAACGCTCGCTTGAGGCTCTTACATCTGTCTTTCCCTGTTAGCTACATCTTCACGGTCCCCAGACGTGTAATGTCTAGCTCAGACCCTGCTCTGAGGTGGCAACCTCCACGTTTACACTGCCTACCGCATGTCCCCCTTTGGATGTCTCAAAGGCACCTCGAATTCGCTATGACCGAGGTAGTATTCTCGGTCTTCCCTCCCAACTCAGCCTTCTTCCCCAGAGGCCTAGCCTAGCTCCCTTTCCCGCCACAGGGCCCCAGCCCTGTCTGATGGCTCTTATTCTGTGGAGGTCCTTGATGAAGGGAAGGAGAGCAGAGGAAGCACTGGAAATGAGCCCAACCTGGAAACACCTGCACGGGTGAGTTCTACCTTCTGAGTAAAGGCACCTGGGCTCCACTCAGTCCCGGTCCAAGAGTAACTAAGTCCTCAAGTAAGCTGTCGACTTCAACAATGGAGGGAAGTGAAGGTGTTAGGTATTTAATCTGGAAATGTTCATCGTAGTGGAAAAAACATCCAGCTTGTGAACTCTACCCTTTTTTACACACTTACTAAATTTTCTTGTCCACTACAGTTCAAAGAGTGGGTTGGGCAAAAGGGTGAGATGCTGGAGAAGGCAAATATTACACCTTTACGTCTTCTGCCTTCTCATGGTTTTACAGGATCTTTTATTTCGAACATCTAAAGATGCTGTTGAGGTCAGGTGTATGTGCACGTGGAAAGAGCAAAGGCCATCCTGTGAACAAATGCATCCTCCAGGTTTGCTCTGAGCAGACGGGACCAGAAAGCCTGGAGAACCTGAGCTCTGTGTCCTATAGCCAACTCACACCCACCAGGTTAGAACCCGGGTGTTTTGATTTTTCGGACCACTTACACTGTGTGTTTTTCTGTAAATTATACAGAAGCAGAACTTGGTAATAATGCAGAGAAGCAAAATAAGATTCATATTGCTCTGAACATGATTTGTGCTTTAATTATTATTTATCTCTAAGTTGGCGCTGGTAAATAACAAGAAGAGGATAAAACATAATATGGACATAACTGAAACCAAAAGAAATCACAAAAGGCTCAAAAAGACAACAGTCGAAGTAAAATCTCCTTCTTTGTCCCTTTTCTAACTTTTTTTTTAACACAGTCATCACCATCCAGTGCCTGCTGAAATAAATGAATACTGCAGGGGGCACCGAGGACTGAATTTTTGGTATATCTGCAAGCACATTGCCTTATACTCTGGATCACAGACGTTCAGAGCCGTCACTTTGCAAATGACCCTGCTATGCTTTTCTTCTGTTTTTTTTTTTTTAATCCTGAAAAATAAAAGAAGCAACAACAAATTCTTGTAGATTTATAAAAAATTGCTATCAAATAAATTACTCCTCTCTCCTATAAACGTATCTGATCATCTGATCTGCCAGTGACGTGGAGCAGAGGCCGCTCAGGTGCAGGAGCCATGGGGGTCTGTGGAAGGAGGCCTGGGGGGCAGAGGCTCTCACCTTGTTTGGAGTTGACATCTGATGGGATGTGTGACGGGTGGGATCCTGGAGAAAAGTGCTCGTCGCTGTAAGTGATGAGGGGGGTGAGAGGATGGACCGCATGGGACGGCTGCACCACGGGCACTTTATTGGACTGCAAAGTAACCACAAGGTCAACAGTTAGTGTGGACCTAGCGCCTGTCTCCTCTCCCAGAGAGAGTCACACCAGCAGTAAAGGGGCATCAGCACAACCCAGAGCCACCTGCAGACCTGACGACGGAGGTCGTCTCTGTGCTCACTCAGATCTTCACAACTCTCCATGTTGAATGCCCCTCAAGTGCATGAAGATCCCACCCAGGGGCTATCAGTTATTAACCAGCGCCCCCGGGAGATGCAGGTAATCACTGTTATTCTGCTTGACAGGAATCTCCATACATACAAGTTTACATGCTCTTCCAGATTCTCTCCTCAGGTTAAGTCAACAAAGAGTTACTGGAGCAAAAATTGTCAATGTCTTTTAAGCTCTTCATTCATTACGTATGTCTGGCATAAAAAAAGCACTCAATAAGAAATTGATGAACAAATAAGTGAATAAATATGGCCAAGTTAAAGGGCAAATTTTTAAACAACCCAATAAATATAATTTTGCTGTATTGATATCCACTTAGTTTATAGAATCCATAATTCTAGAGTTACACATCTTTAAGAACCATTTTATACCATTTTTTCATATTTTATAGCTTTGTCAATCAAACATGACCACCCATGTGTCTTAGCCCCGACTCAGTTCATCTTCAGATTCTCTAGTTTCTAGAAGTCTCAATTGATAAAAGGGAATTTCCAATCTTGAGTTCAACCGCATAATATGAAATGGAGCTTGTAAGAACACTTTAAATTAACACTTTATATTTTAACATATTTAATATGTCACATTTGTTTAAAAATAAATTTTATCATTTAATTTGGCAGTCTAAAACTACACAGCAATAACACTTTTTACAGGTTCAGGTAATTTATTTGGACTTCATCCATTTGAAATCTGGGACTCTTTTGTTTGGTTAAAGTTGAAAATTTTTTTTCCACCCAAGAAAGTGCTTACTAAGCAAATGAGTAAGGTAAATAAGACTCAGGCAGCTTAACCTACTTAGGGGGACTGTTTTTTACAGAAACTCTAGATCCCCTCGCCCCAAAAAGAAAGTAAACACAATTATATACATGCAAAATATGTTTCTTATTTTAAACTTATTTACTAATTAAAGTCGTCTCAGGAAGGCCTCTATTTATACACGCTATAGTAATAAGCAACTTGGGAATTTCAGAGGAATAGAATATAATGAATTTTGAATATTCTCTAATTCACTAGCTCAGATGTACCTTCACCATAATTAGTTTGAATTAGCGAGGTTTTTACTGTACTACAGACTAAAATGCATGTGAAATCTGCTTCTCCAGAAGCAAATATCTGTATTGGAAAAAAAAAATTGAGGAAATGCCTGAAAACTGCACAGTGTAAACTGCTTAAAACATAGGTACATGTCCCAGTGGCAGAGGGCCTATAACACCCCTGCGTAGGGTGGCCGCACCTATGACATACACCAGTTTTGTATTTGATATTTTTTACAAATTAGGTATAAAATGTATGTGGCTCCAACAGGAAGGACCACCCTCAGGAAAACCAGGAACAATGATCCTAGTAACACTTAATTCTCTTTACAGCCGGTAATAGTAATTCTCTATACCCTGTCGTTACAGCCTCCACCCAGAAGAAACTTACGAAAAAACGCAAGGGGGAGAAAAAAAATCACTTTTTCAGACAATGATATAATTTCCATACCAGACTGTCCCTATTTTATAATCATCAACTCCTCTCTAATGGCAGAACTTACATGGCTTGTACAGCCCTTGGTGTTTATTAAACGGAGCTCTGTTATCAAAGCCATGTGCCTCTTCTCTACACACTTCAGCACAGATGTCTGTGCACGAGGTGTGTAAAAGGTTAAAAAAATGTTTCACTGCTTTTCAAGTGATAATAGTGCAGTTTGCCAAATACACAGAATGAGCTTCTTAAATACAAGGAATTTGGATTCTGGAGGAGGTGGGGAGCAGGCAGACGGGTGCAAGTAGGGAGGACAGTATTATAAACCCTTTTAAAAATGGAAACAGAAGTCTCAACACCCAAATGCTACAATGAATGTATTTCAACTCTACTTTAGAATAACTGCTTTGAGTTCATTTCAAAAGTCTCATAAGCATAACTGCCAAACAATCTACAGAGATATTTTCTTAGGGTGGTTATAAAGAATGAGCACTGCAGAAATCTTCGGGAAATATACTCGGCGTGCCGTATTTCCAGAGCAGCACCCTGAGGAACTTGCATTAGCAGGCAGCATCTTAATGTCTGACCTGCCCCTCCAGTCATATAGCTCAGAATCCAGTGCCATGAGTTTTTGCTAAATTATGCTATCCTTGCTCTCCTCTTAATTTTACGGTTTTCAACACAGATTTGCTTTCCTGTGGGAAGCAGATAAGACGCTGAGGATTTTAATTTAAGCTCTGGCCTTGTCTTATATTTTGCAAGATGGATAGCAAAAGCGGTACTAGTAGGTGTGTTAAAGCCAACAAGGATTACACCCATTTTTGTGGCCAAATAATGAAGCAATAGGAAATCTCAATAACATGTGTGGGCACAATTCTGAGGTGAGATTTTGCCTCCCACCAACCACCTCCACTATGTGTATAGACGCATCCAACCTACGCTCCAGGTCGCCATCACGGCGAGCGTCCTCGGCCCGAGACTGTGGGCCTCCCCGGACATCAGGAGTGGCTGTTCTTTGCTGCTAGCTGCACACACCAGGTGGGCACCTGGGCATTGCTCCTCTGAGTCAGCTTCAGAACAGACAACGTACCCACCCTTAAGCCCAGTCCTCCTAGCCCCGAATAACAATGTGGCGTGTGTCAGGGGAGGAGGTGGCAGGAGGAGTAACCAGCCCACTACCCAGCCGGACAGACATGAGCATGTAACCATGTTATGACGCAAGGTCACACGTGCGTGTGTGTCTTCATGAAGCACCTAAGACGTGCCCAGCACCTTCCAGCCCCGACAGCCAACACAGACAAGGTCCCTATTCTCACGCAGCCTCCTTTCTAGGGGCTGGGAAGGTGGAGGGGGTTGTGAAGACAAAAAATAAAGGTGTAAAAAAAACCAAGCAAAATCTGAAAAGACGGTGTCAAGTCCTGTGAGGACAGGAGTCAGCATGTGGCTGATCAGGTGCCTCTGCCTCGAGCTGGAGCCGTTAGAAACCAAAGTTCACTGGGGCCAAGAGCTTCATTTTCTCTGACAGGAAGCTGGGAAACAGGTCACCAGGGGACGGTGATCAGGCCACGACTGTTGCCTGTGCTTATAATAATACGGCCCTGCTCACTGCACATCTCCAGTAGCTCTAGGTCACTGAACAGACGGGAATGGAAGCCGGGGTCCCTCGACACAGTGGAATCGGTGGTAGAGAGGCTGCTGCCCTGTGCTGGGCCCTGTGCACCCAGCACCTCACTTAGCAGAGCCCAGTCCCCTGACCCCCAACCCGTGCTCGCCCCACTGCGCAACCCCCTGTAAGGGAGGGAGGGGTAAAAAGACTCCCATTCTCTCTCCTCCGTAAGTACAGTCAGCTAAGTCTCAGCCTCCCTGGAGGACCACCAGGCATTCCCAATGTGTGTCCTTTGTTTCATGACCCCAGGGCAAACGCACGCACCCTCCCCCAGGGGAACAGGTACTCCACCTTCACGGGATCCCGGCTCCTGTGCAGAGTTCAGTGTCTTTTTTTTGTGTGTTTGTGTGAGGAAAATCAGCCCTGTGCTAACATCTGCCAATCCTCCTCTTTTTGCTGAGGAAGACTGGCCCTGGGCTAACACCTGTGCCCATCTTCCTCTACTTTATATGGGACGCCGCCACAGCATGGCCTGACAAGCGGTGCATTGGTGCGCGCCCGTGATCCGAACCTGTGAACCCTGGGCCGCCCCAGTGGAGCGCGCGCACCTAACCACTTGCGCCACCAGGCCAGCCCCAGAGTTCAGTGTCTTGTCTAAGCTCACAGGGCAGAGAGCAGCTAAGCCAGGCCGCAGACCTGATCTTCCAGCTACACACTCTTTAACCTCAGGCGGGTGATCCGTCAGGTGAGCAAAAGAAAAGTCAAAAAGATGGAAAGAGCAGGCAGAAGGGGTAGAAACCGTCAGGTGGACTCTGCACCACAGCTCTCCCGCCTGTGCCCAGCGCCCATACGTGGCTGTTCGGTGGGAAGCCCGCCATCCTTTCCCAAACTTGAAAAACCACCACCAGGCCTTGCACCCAGGGAGCACGTAATCATTACAGCAGCTAACGCTTACCCAGTGCTTCCTGCACGCTACGCACGTCACAGTACCTCTGAGACAGGCACCATTATTATCCATCCTCCTTTTACAGATGGGGAAACTGAGGCACAGACAAGTTAAGGAACTTTCCCAAGGGCACAGAGCCAGTAAGTGGTGAGGCCGGGTTCAAATGCAGAGAGTCTGGCTCCAGAGGCTGCATTACCCGTCCACCATGCCGCCCCCCTGAAGAACTGAGTTCATAAAACCTTGGGCTCTGAGTCGACCATCTGGGCCATACCGGACAGTGTGTGACATCCATGAAATGACTGTGGTCTCTGTCCCAGGCACAGGAGTCCCATCAGACAAAGAGGCGCCTCACAGAAGGAGTCTGAGCCGCAGCTCAACTGCCGCCTTTCTCTCCAGGCCTGGAACACATTCCAAGGAAGCCAGCTTGGCTGCCACCCAGGCTGGTCCCTGAAGGTAAGGACCTCTTTGGCATCACAGCCAATAAAACCCACACCTCCTGCGGACACGAAGTGGGTGCCACTTAGGGATCCTGAGAGCCACCCCCAAAGCAGCATTCCCAGAAATGACCCACTCACCGCTGGCAGGAACTCAAGCTGTCATGAAGGTCGTCAGCCTCCGAGGATGTGGTTCTGGGAAGGACTAAAATGTGGTTCAGCTCCCTCCTGGCTAAGGCCGTGGGCTTGCTGGTAAGTGCAGTAATTGGGGAGAAACCTGCTGGCCCAGTAGCTTGTCCCCATTTTGCACACCTCTCGATTTCAACTAGACCCATAGTGCAGGATCCAGCTG